AATATAAATAAATAAATTCCCTCCTGTTAAAGGGTTTCGTGTTGGGTTGTTTGGAAATCTTCTCCGCAACCCGGCAGAGCAGACCCGGTCCCTTTAAGGCTGATGCAGTTCTAGGGGCGCTTAATGGGTTAAGGGCGGTGGGAAGATTCGCACTCGCCACCCCATGGTTTAGGCACCGAGGAGCTGTCCCACCTGCATCGCGTGACCCAGAAAGGGTTGGGCAGAGGATCCTGGGTGGATCTCCAGGCGGTTCGTAGGAGATCACGATAGCTCGGTGGGTTAGGTTTCCGGCTGCAGAGTCAGAGGTCAAGGGGGTTCGATTCCCCCACCCCCTGGGCCTCCTTGACCAGCGATGGTCTGCACGATCCATCGGGACCTTTCCAGCTCAGCAGATCTAAGATTTTTTTAAGAAGTAGGCTTTTTCCAGTTCCCAGGCTAAGGAAGTGACCCCCAAAGGCTCCAAAACCTTGTGTTTTTTTACTGCTTAAATCAATCTGTTGAAATTTGGGGGGGGGGGGGGGGGGACAGACACAGCTTGCTTTGTACACAGAATCTCCTTTCGGGTAGCTAAAAGGTGCCCCAAACCCTCCGTTCTGGGTTTCCCCATTTCCTGGACTCTTTATTTTATTTTATTTTATTTTTTTGCTCCTGGATCATCTGACCCGCAGATGTTGGGGTCTGGGGTCCTGGGGGAGAAGCTAAGTATTCTCCCTGCTGCTTCTTTTCTTCCCCCCCCCAGGCATGCCCGAGACCGAGGCCCCCGGGGTAGTTTTTTTCACTGGGTGGCCTGGGGCCTCCGCCACCACGGATCGGGGCCCGGCTGGGTTCCCTGGTCCATTGCCTATTAAGGACATCCCAGGCGAGGTTGCTATGACATCCAGCAATGTGTGTGTAGAAGGGAAGAAGGTGGCTCAACAGAGATCCGGATAAGAAAGGCGGCTGAGTTCCCCCCCCCCACCAGCTTGTCTGCCAAGGGCTTGAAAAAAACACGGATGGGAGGGAGGGAGGGAGGGGGAAGGATTTTTTTTAAAAAAAGAGCCAGAAAGCAGCATCCGAAGGGGTGGGGTGGAAGGGGGGAATATTCTGATTTGCAAAAGCATGGAAAAGACAGAGCGCAGGAAAGGGAAAGCCTTTGGGGGGACTACAAAGCCCAGCATCGCCTTTGGCTGGGGATGCTGGGTGTTGTGGTCTTTTAAAAAAAGGAATGCTTCAGATCTCTGGGAAAGGCCAACCGGCATGTTCGAGGCGCTGGGGCGAGGGGTTCGGCTTCATCTCACTGGCTTGATTTCTCGATAACAAATTTGGTTTTTTTTTAAAAAAGAGAATTTCTTCCCTCTGCCTCCATAACAACAACAACAACCAGCACTTTTTGAACTGCCAAGCTGGACGGGACCTTGCGGGTCACGGTGTCCATCCCCTGTCAAGAAGGCCCAGTGGGGAGAATTCGAACTCCCAACCTCTGGGGCTGCAGCCAGGAATCTAAGCCAATGAACTAAGTGAAAAAGTTCTGGCCACTTCCGGGACTAAACCGCTGTTCCTTGGCACCTGCTTTTGTGGAGAGGTGCCAGGCTGTGAAAGTTTGCGGCCAAATAAAATGTGGGTCACGGTGTCCATCCCCTGTCAAGGAGGCCCAGTGGGGAGAATTCGAACTCCCAACCTCTGGGGCTGCAGCCAGGAATCTAAGCCAATGAACTAAGTGAAAAAGTTCTGGCCACTTCCGGGACTAAACCGCTGTTCCTTGGCACCTGCTTTTGTGGAGAGGTGCCAGGCTGTGAAAGTTTGCGGCCAAATAAAATGCGTTCATCTTCAGGGTTGTCACAGAACACCGGTGCCCGTTTGTCTGCGAAGCCAACAGGGCTTCGCTCTGTCCCTTGCAGACCTTTTCCTCCTCCCGGAGTCTGAAGAAAGCTGACTTTCCCATTGAGGCCGCTTTGAACAAAGCAGGTCACTTTCTAAGCCTGGAAAAAGCTGATTTTTTTCCCAGTTTGCGGCGCCAGAATTGGGCACAGCCACCCGCCCCCAAAAAGAACTTCAGCTCCTGCATTGCTTGAACTTCCTGTTTAAGAGGCATGGTGTTCAAAACCTTGCCGGTTCTTTGTAGAAACCACAGGAGGCGAGAAGCAGAAAAGTGCTATTACACTATATATATATACACACTTCTCTCTCTTCCTAATTCCCTCCTCTCTTTTCTTCCTGGGATATCCAAAGCCACCCGTGGATTAACATCCGCCAGGGTCACACAAGCGGCCGCTCATGTGCATCTCTTAAGCAACGCGGCGCTTGTCCGGACAGCCCTGTCCACCTGCTAAAATACATTAAATGGAGCTATAAATACTAACCTCCTTCCAGCTCCCTCCCTCCCTGTCCGTCTTTTCGCCTGGCACCTGTTTGGGAACCGACCACAAATAGTTGGGGTGTGTTTCCCCCACCCCACACGTCAGACGTGTTTGGGGTCACCCCCCCTTCCTTCTAAGACTATCCCCTAATTCGCACTCAAGTCCCACTCGCCACCCCACCCCCCCGGCACCTAGACCCGTCCATTTCTTTCTCTCTGCCTTCTTCATCCCTTCTTCCTCCCTGGCTTTCTAAAAGTCCTGGCGATTGTCTACTTTTGGACACGGGCATAATTAGGATGCTCGGCATTCTCTCCCAAGCTGGACGAGTGTCGGGGGCCGTAGGAGCTGGTTAAAAAAAGGCGCTCGGCCTCGGCGCCTCCTGGCCTTGCTCTCTCTCTCTCTCTCTCTCTTCCTCTCTGCGTCCGGCATGTTAATAAAGAAAGGCACCTCAAAGAATATTAATCTTACGCCTACGACGTAGCCACGTCCATCAGGAAATTCTCTTTAGTTTAGATTTGCTTGGATGCAGTGCAGCCAAGGAAGCAGTAACAGCAGTGGGAGGCATGAGGACTAGAAACTTAAATGAAATTAGTTGGTGCCACATGGACTGGGGGTGGTGGGGGATAACTCCTTTCTCTCTTGTGGCGTGATTGCTTTTAGCTACGTTGATTGTGACATGCTGTATGGATCGATTGATCTACATTTATGTCCTGCCCATCTAAATGCCGGGCCACGATGACAATTAACCTCATACCACCCGCAAAGACAGAAACAGGGAACTAAGGGACATTTTTTAAAAAGGTATCTTTTAAAAAAGACCTGTAGAGCACCCCAATATGGTTATATTTTATAGCACCAGCAAGCAGCTGGTAATTTTGGAAAAGTAATTAAAAATTTTTTAAAAATTTGAGCACAGATAATATTTTTTTAAAACCACACTGGGTCCAGTTTTTGGAGTTGGGATTGTAACGGTGGCAAATTTGGGGTGGTTGCCGGGAGAGGGGGTGGCAGTAGGACCGAAGGCAGAGAGGCCTGGGGTTGAACTGTGGTTTGGGGTTTTTGTTTTGAGTTGTTGCAACCGAACCCTGGTGTGGAGGGAGACGTAGCGGCTTAGTTTCTCCAGGAAACATTATCCACAAGAGTCAGCCTTTGTCCCCTTTCTTTCCAATGTTGACATGAATTTGCTAGTCAAATTCCTCCCTGGCGAAGCGCCAGTGGGGCTGTGTGTAGCTTGGCTTTGTGGGGCAGAAAGTATAGGAGGATCTGTCAGTAGATTGTAGCTGATTTGCTGTAAACTCAGCAAGAGGCTTCAAGAGGGTTAAACAACAGGAACCAAAGCGTTCCCCCACCACCACCTAAATTTGGCTACTGGAAGGAAGAATGGGGAGAGGAAAAACAGGGGTGGACTTCTACAGGATCGGACTGGAAGCTCAATTTCGTTTTGGAAGGATAATTGGCTCTCGAGGCTCAGAGCATGCTCAGAGACACCGTATTTCTTTAAAAACTCTCTTTCCTCCAGCTTCCATCGGATCAGGCAGCCGTGCTCTTGAGTCCATCATCCCCAGGAGGACGAACTAGGTCATGAGCAGCCATGGCTGACCATTCAGACTCGCGGGAGTCCGAGAACAACAGCTGGGTGATTGCCGGCTCCGAGGTGAGTGGCTGGGGGAAGGAGGTCTTTTCCAGAGGGCAGTGTAAACAGTGTTAAGATTCTAGTCCTCATTGTTCGGAATATGTGCGGGCTTCGAAAGCAACAGAGCAAAGCTGGTTTATTCTTTATTTATTTTATTTATTGCATTTATACCCCGCCCATCTAGTCAATTGACTACTCTGGGCGGCTTCCAACATATATAATAAAACAATATACATATATAACAACATTATAAACATCAATAATCAAATTATTCAAGACGGGACGAGATAAGAGATTGGGATCCAAGTCAAATCCTTGCTCCTTTTGTTTTGGAATCCAAGTCAAATCCTTGCTCCTTTTGTTTCCGCACTTAATATGTTCTGGGATGGCCTTCTAGAGAGGTTGTCGGACTCCAAAGCCCATCAGCCTTTTGTCAAAAGAGCCAAGGATGATGGGAGCTACAGTCCCAGAAGATCTGGCCAGGCTGATGTGGCCCGGTGCCGACCCACTCATGGAATAACAGTTTTAGAAAGGGCCTTTTAGTGTCAGACTACAAAACCCAAAATCCTGCTGGCTGGAAGATTCTAAGCCCCCTCCCCAAATGCTTTCTAAGGTCTGGAGATACTGGGTAAGGTCTGTATGCCAAGCACTGGGTTCCGGTCTTTTTCCACCACCGACCCTTCCTGATTTTCGTGGTCCCGCGGAGAAGAGAATTGGCGTGCAACCGTATTTCTTGTTCCCTTAGGCCTTACCTGTGGAGGATCTCGGCGTAGGAGCATCAGAGGGACCCCACGGGGAGGATGAGCCGTTGAAAGAAAGCACCCAGGGTAGGTGATGAGGGGGTGGATGATGGATCCCGCCCACTTTTTAAAGACCAGGGCTTCCAAGATTCACCTGCTGGCTGAGAGGAGAGCTGTTTTTCGAAGCTCTGCCCTTTTCCATGGGGGAAGCTGGACTACAAATCCCATCAGGCATGACCAGAAGAGTCCGGGGGAGGAGGAGGAGAAGGATGGGAGCTGTGTTTGAGAAATATCTGGAGGGCCCCTGTTAGTAAGTTGGGCTCATGAGCCCCTATGGGACATTCCCGCCTCCTTTGCTCCTGGCCTCCCTTCCAGGGACGTTGTGAAAAATGAAACGGCGGGAGGGAGTTTAAACGCACACACGTTCCGCGACTTTAGACTGGCGTTTTTCTTACGCAGCCTTCTTGGGTGAACCTGAGTGTCGCGTCGAGACTCCAGATCCAGAGGAGACCAAATCGAAGGTAGAGCTTTGAAACCGGAAGGGTTCACCTGTCCTCTTTGTGTGCGTGTGTGTGAGATTGTGATCTGAAATTTTCTCATTATTAGATTTCACGCCTTCTTGCCAGTGCAGTTTTGGGATACCCAGGGACACCCCCTTGGGAGGGGAAAGACGGCGTGCTGGTTTTGTCTCTCTCATTAGCGATCACGCCCTGCCCGCCACCTATATAAAAAAGATTAAAATTAAATGCAAGTTGTTTTCCTGTTCAATTAGACCAGAACTGGCTCATTCACAGGAGGGAAAGAGGAAGGGCCAAATACGAGATGGATTGACTGCTTAAACGAAGCCCCAGGCTTGAGTTTGCATTAAAATAGTATTTCCTTTTTTTCTCCAAGCTGTCATTTCCGGGGATGTTTCTAGTTTGTTGGTTTTTGTTAGTTTGTTTTAATTCTTTTTAAGTTTTTTAAACCATAGGAGAGGCAGTGGCGTTTTATGAGTCCGCTGTCTGGCTCAGCAGCCAGCGGGTTTGATTTCTGTCATTCCTGGTGTCGAATCTGTGTCTGTGTTTTTTTCCCAATGTGCAAAGGCATGGAGGAGGTGTGAAACTATGAGGAGGTGTGGGTTTTCCATTCTTCGTTTTTCTGTGCATCCAGGGCCCTGGGGTGGAATTAGATGTCCCCACCGAGCAGACCCCGAGCCCGGCTGAAGCTCCGGAGCCCCCATCGAAGGAGCCCCATGGCCAGGATGGGGAGCAACAAGCTGTACCCGCTCCGCAGGGCCCGATCGTGATCCAGAAACTCGGTGAGTCGTTCATTCCAGAGCTGCTGTTTCGCATTTCCAAATACAGTGGTGCCTCGCCAGACGATGTTAATTCGTTCCGCGAAAAACGTCGCCTTGTGAAAACATTGTCTTCCGAAAAGCGCTTCCCCATTGGAATGCACTGAAATGTACTTAAGGCGTTCCAATGGGGAAAAATCGTTGGAAATCTAATTGATGCGTTCCAATGGGAAAAAATTTTTGTCTTGCAAAAATCGTCCATAGAAAACATCGTCTTGCGAAACGCGGTTCCCCATTGGAATGCGCTGAAATGTATTTAAGGCGTTCCAATGGGGAAAAATCATTGTCTTGCAAAAAAAAATCGTCCATAGAAAACATTGTCTTGCGAAGCGCCACAGCGATCGCAAAAACCAATCGTCTTGCGGATTAATCGTCCTGCGGGGCAATCGTCTTGCAAGGCACCACTGTATATAAAACAATTCAAGCTTCGCAAGCTTCTGAGTCTCAATCACCCTAAGAGGGAGTCAGACTGAAACTGGGTAAACACCCCCCCCCCGAGGGCTCGCACTCATCCAGGACGTTCATTTCATAGCTAAGCAAAGAAGCTGGATCTGTTAAGCTCCGGGAACAAACAATTTAAGCTGCTCAAGTTTTTGAGTCGCAATCACCCTAAGATGGAGTCAGGCTGAAACTGGGTAAACACCCCCCCCCAGGGGGGCTCGCACTCATCCAGGACATTCATTTCATAGCTAAGCAAAAAAAGCTGGATCTGTTAAGCTCCGGGAACAAAGCTTTCTCTACATCCGTCGAGCCTAAGACGGCCTCTGCTGGTGGCTTCCCCGCTTGGGGGTCCCAAGATGGTCTTAGACTACAACTCCCAGAAGTCTGCACCTTTGGCCGGGGAGCTGTAGTCCAGGGTTACTTGAAGCCCCTTGTTTGGGGATCATGGGCCTCTGTGGCTCTGTCTACAAGACCCTACATAGTGTCTCCTTTCTATTTTTTTTTAAATCCACCTGAAAAGTACCTAAAATTGGGGGAGGGGGAACCCCTCAGTTCTCCCCCAAAGCTGCTTGACGTTCTCCTGAGAATTAATAAAAATATGGAATTAAATGCACTTTGTTAGGGGGAAAAAGGCCCCGGGTCTCTTATCAGGCAGGGCGTTATTTTCAAAGGCGTGATGATGGAACTGAACGTCTCATGGGGAACGCGTTTCCTCCGAGCTGGGAGTCTTTCATTCCTCCCTCTTTCCCAGGCCCGGAAGGGGAACACACGGCAATCTCCAGCCACGGAGAAGATGTAGCGGACGTGGAAGAACGGGACGTGGAAGGCCTGCGCCGTCGTAAAGGCCGAGACGTGGCCCCCGCCGGGCCGGGGGCTACCCGGAACCGAGAGGAAGGGACCCTCGGGGACGAAGACGGAGAGAGAACCAAATGGATCTTCGGTCTTCTAGTCCTCATGGGTTTAGGCTTGCTGGTGGCCGTAGGTAAATATTAGCCGGCTTCTCGGTTGGGGAGAAATGAGATATTATGCCAACAC